GTATGTGGGATCCGAACCCTCGGGCGGGAGCACCGCCGCGCTTCCCAAGCGGCGCACTATCCAGTGCGCCACTGGGCCAGCCCGATAATATTTATTTTTAATTAACAGTTTGAATCAAAGGGTAATTGAGCGGAAGCATAAATATCACACAGTGATTTATTTGCTCATTTTTTATCTTTCTCAGGAAAACTCAATGTGAGTAGCGACACTGTCCAGCATGGTGTGGAAGGGTTAACATATCTCCTCACTGAAAGCTCAAAGCTCATGGTAAGGGCTTCTGTGGACTGTTTTTGTATTACTTGGATTCTTAAGAAAGGGCCAGTGTACTCTACATAATAGTCCTGGCAGGTACCTGCATATTGTAGTAATTGAATGATTTATAATCGATTTTGTAAAAACATACCTAATAGTATGACTGTATCATTACCTGCTAGTATGAATACCTCTTACTTGTATAAATTAGAGTTGCCTCTAATTCTACATGTTGTAAACCATATGCCGTAGTCTGTATCCTAGGAGGAGGGAGAATCAAATGATTTATTTTTTTCTATATCAGCAGCATCTGGATTGATGGAGAATAGGAAGGAAAACTGGGCATCTTAACAATTCTTTCCTTTTTATACTTCAATAAAGTATTTTTATGTATCAGTAACTCAGATTTTAGAATAGTGAGCAATGGTTGTCTTTAACTATAAGGAATGTTTCTTTTACTCAACAGCAAGGAATTAGGGGATATCATATTCTTTTGTATATACAAGTGTTTTAGCATTTACTAGACAAAGATAGATTTTGATATTCTGTTAAACTCAATTTGCTTTTAGATTTCTGAACTGGATTTCCAAGACTCTGTTTTTGTTCTGGGATTCTCTGAAGAATTGAACAAATTGTTGCTTCAGCTTTATCTGGACAACAGAAGGGAGATCAGGACTATTCTGAGTGAATTGGCACCCGACCTTCCCAGTTACCACAGCCTTGAATGGCGACTAGATGTACAGGTATGGCTTTTTTTTTCTTTTCTTTTTTTTTTTAACCTGACATAGAATATAAGAATTATTTTAGATTTGTTTCTTGCTTTTTGTATTCTTTACCCTCTTAAACAAGCTCTGATTTCAGACTTTGGTTTTTTAGTGTTCGTTTTCAGACTGTTTCACAAATAATTCATTTTCTTTTATTTTTAATGTGTTCAAATCAGTTTAATTTGCAAAGTTTGTAAAAACTTGGTTATTTTGGGAAAAGACATGATTATGCAGATTTTTTAGATGGTGCTTAGATTTTTAGAAACTTTTCTCTGTAAGTATAACACACATATAGGAAAGTGCACAGGTCATTATACAGCTCAATGAATTATTACATGATGAAAACACCCACAAAACTGACACTTAATCATGATGGGCACCCCAGACACATCATCCTTGTCTCCTACCAATTACTGCCCCTTTCCCCTTTTCCAGAGGTAACCAGCATCCTGACTTCAAACACATACATCACTTTTGCCTGCTTTTTAGCTTTCTGTATATGGAATGATTGATAAATATTCTTTTGTGTCTGGCTTCTTTTACACAATGTTATTTTTGTGAGATTCATCTTTCAGTTGTTTTTAAAGCCACGTAAATAAGCAAAAGAGAGTTTTTGGGCCATTGCATGTATCCCTTTATTAAACAGTGAGAGATGAGTGAATAGATATTTACTGAATGTCATTCATTTGCTGATTAGAGCTGTATTAAATGCTTTAGGACCGAAAAGAAGTGTTAAGATACTTTCTGAGCTGGAAAAGATGTTATCTAGTTAGGAATATTAGGTGTTCTCAAGATAATTAGTAATTAAAGATAGTTATAAAATAAGATTCTGGAGAGGACACAAGAATGCAGTTGTATAAATGAAGGTGCCTACTGAATGTTTGAAAAAAGTTATTAGGTGTTCTCAAGATAATTAGTAATTAAAGATAGTTATAAAATAAGATTCTGGAGAGGAAACAAGAATGCAGTTGTATAAATGAAGGTGCCTACTGAGTGTTTGAAAAAAGTACTCATGTAGTTCCGTGTGTGCTGGCATGATCCAGAAAAGTGTCAACAAAAGGTGAAATTTCAGAAAGATGAATAGAGAAAACCAGGGTAAATATTCTTGGCAGAGGAGGCAGCATAAGTTTTAAAGGCCCACATGGGTATGGGAATGAGCATATAACTACGTGGTACAGTGCACTAGTTCTCAAACTTGACTTATTGGAATAACCCAGGAAGTTTTAAAAAAAAAATTCTGACGTCTGTTCCACGCCCAGAGATTCTGATTTATTGGTATGGGGTTTGGCCTGGGCATTAGGATTTTTGAAAGCTCCACTTTCACCCAGCCAATTCTAATGTGTGATAAAGTTTATGAACCACCGTTATAGTGGATTCTTCCTGATTTGAATGGAAGCAAGGTGGTCAAAATAGGTTACAGAAATTTAGTTAAGAGGAGCTTAGACCTGACATAACAGACAATAGGAAGCCCTTGTAGATCCAGAATATTAACCTTGGTTTTCTCTATTCACTCATTTATTGTTACCCTTGAGAGTAACATTAAAGCAGTCATTTAGGAAAGTTGATCTAGCATCCTTGGGCAGATCAAAGTGAAAGTGGGAATTAGAAGTATGGAGAACTTCAGGCTTTTACACTTTTTTTTTTCCACCTACATGAAATGCTTTTTCTGCCTTGCCACTATCTCTTGACTTTACTCTTTCTTATCCTTTTAAGTCTTAGTTTAAATCAGGGCACAGCAAACTATGGCTTATGGGCCAAATCTGGCTTGCTGCTTGTTTCTGTAAATAAAGTTTTGTTGGGACACAGACTTGCTCATTTGTTTACTTATTATCTATGGCTACTTTCAAAGTACAAGGGAAGGGTTAAGTAGTTGTGCCAGAAACTGTATGGTCTACGAAGCCTAAAATATTTATCATTTGGCTCTTTACAGAAAAAGTTTGCTGGCCTCTGCTTTAAATAATGCCTCCCTCCCTCTGGGAGAAATTTCCTATACTGCTAGATACAGTTAAATCTTGGTGGCATCTGTGTTTTCTTTTGCATGGCACTTGTGTTTCTTTTTTTTGGCAAGTCATCTCATGCATACATACCCGATTTCCTCAGTAAAGTGTAAACTCTGAAAAGTGGGGACTATGCTCATCTTATATATTGTCTTTCTTCAAAGCTTCAATATTTCCACCATGCTTCACACTCTTAGCTGTTGACTTTGCTTCCTGTTTGACTAAGAAAGGAGAAGCAATCAGAAGAGAACTCTCACGTGCTCCCGCTGCTACATCTGCCAACCTGCCCGCATCAGTACCTGCTTGCTCTGCCTTCTCTCCTGTTGTTCTTGATGAAGTGTCCATGCTCCTATCTCTCTGTAGGCAAGCTCTTCCCTTGTACACATTAGTCCATTCCTATATGCCCATGAGGACTTAGTTCCAGCAATTGTTCCCTCTCTTTCTTACACGATACTTTATTTGCCTCTGTACTGAATCATTCCCTTCAGCACACAGTCAGAAATCCAGTCCTATCCATATAACCCTCCTACTGTCACCCCATTTTTTGCTTCCCTTTTCACCAAAACTTGGAAGAGTTATTTCTCTATCTATACTGATTCTCTCTCGAACCCACTCTAATGAGGCTTCATCATAACCATTCTACAAGCATAACTTAATCAAGTTTATCACTTTTTTAGTCTTTCTGCCATTCTATTTTTAGCAGCATTTATCACAGTTCATCATCCTACTTGAAATACTTTCTTCAGTTGCTTTCTGGGAAATTACTCCCTTTGGTTCTCATCCAACTTCACAGGCCCCTCCTTCTCAGTCTCCTTTGATGATTCTCTCTCATCTCATCAACTTTTAAACAGTGGAATGCCCCAAAGGTCAATTCTCAGTCTTCATACCTTTTCCACTTGTATTCCCTAGCTGACCTCATCTTATCTGATGGCTTTAAATACTCCCTGTGTACTCAGGATTCCCAAATTTATATCTTTAGCCTAGGCCTATCCCCCAAACTACAGAGTCATACACTTGAAGCCAACTTGACATCTCCCCTTGGGTGTTTGATAAACATTCAAATGCAGTGTATCCAACACTGAATCATGCATTCCTCACTCCTCCCTCCCCACACTGCCCCTTCCATAGTCTCCCCGTCTCAGTAGACAGTGAGTCTCTTCTTTGAATTGCTCAGGCCTGAAACACTTGGAATCATCCTTGGTTCCTGTGTTAGTCCTTTTCTGTTGCTTATAACGGAATACCTGAAACTGGGTAATTTATAAAGAAATGAAATTTGTTTCTTACAGTTTGAAGGCTGAGAAGTCCATGGTCCAGAGGGCCTTCGGGTGAGGGAATTCTAGGTGGGAATTCTGTACAGGGTCCTGTGGCAATGCAGGGTATCACATGACAAGAATGGCATGAGCAAAAGAGCTAACCTCACTTGCTCTCCTTATAAAGCCATCAGAACCATACCCATGACAATCCATTAAATCATCTACCTTTTGCTCCATAAATAATCCATTCACAAGAGCACTGTCCTCATGATCCAATCACTTCTCAGAGGCCCCACCTTCTACCACCATATTGGGGGTTAAGATCCAACATGAGCTTGCAGGGGCATTCAAACCACAGCAAGTCCTCTTCTTACCTTTTGTCTAATCCATCTGTAAAGCAGTTTCTTCCTCGAAAAGATAACTGCAACCTGATCTCTTCCCTTCCACTGAAAAAAATTGGTAGATTTCACATCAAAATTATAATTTCTCCAAACTCTTGAAAAATTAGAAGTCCAGGCAACACTAGAGCCACATTTCTACATGCCATTAATAAGTTCAAGATACACTGAATTTAAGGTGATGACAGTTTATATAAATTTTAATCTCTATAGTAGCTGAGGACGTGGGCCTAGAACTTGCAGGCAAGATTAGATCAAACCACAAATGAGAATGATTTCTCTGATGGCTGTACCAAATCTTACTGGTTACTTATGGTTAATAGAAAGTAAAGCCAGCGATTAAACTAAGTGTGGTTTCAGGAAATAACAACCAGTGTTATTATTAGTAACACTGGAAAATATTATTCCAGGAAAACATTATTCAGGAAATAATAACCAGTGTTAGGTTGTGCCTAACAACCAGCTAGGCACAACACAGTGTCACTGAAAGAACAACATTTAAGAATGGAGGGATCATTTAGGGTGTCAGAGTTGAGAAGACTTCTGACCAAATCCCAAAGCCTTAGGATTTGGTCAGAAAACAAATGCACATGTCATACTACATCGTCAAGTTTTACACTTGGGATGGGATGGCTGGCTTAGAGAAAGAGGGTATTCCATTGTCATGAGCATCCTTAGGTATGTGTAGGTACCCATAGAAAACATAACTTCTTATGTCCCATTCATCCATTCATGGTTCTATAAATCTGTTCAGTCATCAAACCATTCATTGAATGTCTGGTGTGTGCCAGGCCTTGTGGACATAGCAATGAAAGGACCATAATACTTGCCTTTAAGTCCTCACAGTCTTACAGAAAGAGATCAAAAAATAAAACAAAAATGAGCAATTACAATCAAGTGTGATGAAGTGCTTGACTAAGCTTGAACACAGGATATGGTATAAACCAGACTGTGGGCTCCATGATGGCAGGTACTATGTCGTTTACTCCTCTGTCCTCAGCACAATACCTGACACATAATAGGCTTCAGTGCTGATTAGAAAGAGTGGATGGGACAGGGGGACATAGCAGATTCTTAAATTATTCATCAAATATTTCTTGTACACTTAACATGTGCCAGGTATTATGGATACAGCAAAAGACCAGACACAGTTCATGTTCTGGGGGACACCATAAGCAGCAAGTCATACAGGAGGAGGAGGAGATCACCATGGTTAATCCTTTATTTTTATGTCGTTTCTTTAAAACCAGGTGGAGATGTGGGGATGGTCATGCTTATGTGGTGTTTGGCAGTAGTTTATCTTAGTTTACTTCTCTCTTGTGTGGGGCTGTCCTCTGACTTTTGGGGCCCAGAAGACCTTAACAGTCTTTTTTGGGCTTTATTGATTTGAGTTTTTCCATTATGAAGACATTTCTAGGAGTTAGAAATTAAGAATTTCTTAATTTTCTAAAATTAAACTTAAGGGAGCTCATTTACCCAATGAAATGAGTTTGAATTGCTGCGATACTGCAGGACTACTACAATTTAAGGTTGTGGTACACTAAGTAAATGTTACCACTTATGGTGAAGGGCTAAAAAAGCACTCAGAACTAATTGAGTTCCTGAGCTCATTAGCTGAAACTATTATAGAGGATTTTAACTCTGGTTGATTCTTCTGTTTATGGGAGGATGGCAAGTCAGATGAGACCAGCTAAGTGGCTAGGAAACTAGTAACAGGATATACTGCCTCTCATTTTTCAGTAACTGACTTGTCATAGAGACTGGTAGGGAATGGACAGTTACCGTCTAATTATTGTGCAGTTGCTTATGGGAAACAAATTAATCATCATAGTTTAGTTTCCAGTAGGATTATTTCCCCAAACTTAAATTACCAGCACAGTTGATGCCCTTGTTAATAGCATCAGTAAATTGTTTTTTGTTTTGGTTTTTTTTGGCAGCCGGCTGATATGGGGATCTGAACCCTTGACCTTGGTGTTACACAGTTTAACTAGCTGAGCTAACCAACCAGCCCCAGCATTAGTAAATTGAATGCATTTGAGACTGGTACAGGAGGATGTTACTTTTAAGGCTGGTCCATCTCCAACTGCATCAAAACAGTCTTTTCCTGTCCTACCCACATATTGTTTGCTGAGACCAAATAGAGGGCTGAATTCTTTTAGGAACTTTAGCTAAATGAAACATAATTTATGTATCCTGTTTCCTATATGATGTTTTTTTGCCAGCTTACTCTCTTCAGTGCCTTGAGATTTAGCCCTTCAGCTAAAAAAATTTTTTTTCTAATTTGCATTGACATTATGACATTTTAAAGTTGATGTTATTGTTGTTATGTTTACAGGGAGGTAAACAGAATTTTATTCCCAATAAAAAACAAGTTCATGTCAAGAGCTTTGTGGGCTACTGTTCTTTATCCTCTAGTACTGAGTGCTGTTCAACTTCTTTCTGAGAAAAAATTAGGTCTGATTACATCTTATTGGGTATTTGTTAGGTATCTTATATAATCTCATTTCTAGAATTTTTTAATGAATGCTATAAATATTTATCTGATTGGGTATTTGTTAGGTATCTTATATAATCTCATTTCTAGAATTTTTTAATGAATGCTATAGATATTTATCTGTAAAGATTTTTAATTTAGATAAAGATTTTTAATTTAGATAGGTTATCTAAAAATTAGTGCATAGACTGAGTGACTTTAGGTCTTTCAACAAAAATTCATGGCTTCATTACACACCAAGATATGAGGGTACTTCAAAAAGTTCATGGAAAGACTTGTTTTTCTTGTTTTCAATTCTGTTTTTCCACAAACTTTTTGAAGTACCCTGGTACATTCGATTTTTGTTTGTCAGTGCAGATGTAAGTGAAAAAACAAATATAAACAGCGTGTAATTGGATGAATAAGTAGTATTTTTAGTTATATTTATAGTTTGCATATCTGTCATATATATAATTTTCTGTAGTAGAGAAATGATCTTAAAGAGGTACTTTATCTTACAAGTATCTATTTTATGTTTGAGGACTAACTCACCCAAAGGGATTGACCTATTGTTTCCAGATTATTTGGGGACATTAAATTTCAGCCTTGAACCAGTATCTTGGGTTCTTTTGGAAGCCCAGACCACCTAGAACTATTTGGAAGAAGTTATTAGTTAGAATATTCTATGTTGTGGTATTAATTAATCCTGAAATCTCAGGTTTAGATATATTACTTAGTTGGAGGTCTTTTCAAGTTGGCTTCCTGTCCTTTCGACATGACTTCAGTAGTTTTTGATAACTTCCTTGCTTTTTTGTATAACAAGATGTTTCAGGCTCATCTTGTACAGTTCCTGTCCCAGACCTTGAATCAGCTGTTACTTCAAGGTGGTTCTGATTCCTTTTAATGGAGAATAGTCTTTAGAGATCACAATTGTGCTACGATTGAATGCCATTACTTTCAAGTTGGTCATTGTTTACAGTTTTGGGGTTGCTTGTTTTATGGTGATAGTACTTATTTTTAAAATTTTGGAATATGTTATATAAACAAAAAATTCTAGATGCCCAGTTTAAGGAATAATAATAAAACAAATACCACTACAGCCAATACCAAACTTAACAAGTAGAACAAGATCAGTGCCTTTGAATCATCAGTGTCTTCCCCCAGTTGTAACCCTCTCCCAGCTACAGAGAAAACCATTATCCTAAATTTTTGTTTGGTTTGGTTTGGTTTTTGGTGGCTGGGCCATATGGGGATCTGAATCCTTGACCTTGGTGTTACAACACCACACTCTAACCAACTGAACTAACTGGCCAGCCCCCATTATCCTGAATTTTCTGTTAACACTTTCTTTGTAGGTTTTTTGCATATATTTTTGTCACTAAACTGTGTATTTTTAAAATTTGCATGTTCTTCGGGAACTTGCTTTTTTGATTCAACATTTTCATGTTTCATCTACGATAATTCATGTTGCTATAATTCATTTCTTTTCACTGCTGTTTAGTAAAGCAGCTTATTGTATGAATATGCTGTTTATCCATTCTATTATTAATGAATACTTGAGATGTTTCTAATTTTTTGCTCTTGGAAACAAATAATGTTATGAATAAGTATATGTGCAAGAGTTTAAAGTATATACCTAGAACTGCTGGTAGCATATATTGTTTTCCAAGGATATTATTTCATCACTCTCTCCCCAGTGGACAAGTACCTTGCAATGCTTGATATGGACAAGTTTTTAATTTTTGCTAGTCTAATATATCTAAAATGATATCTCGTGGTTTTGTTGGCCATTTTTGTGATGTCTAATAAATTTGAACATATTTTTCTGTGTTTATCCATTTGTCTTCTTTTGTGAAATGCTTATTTAGATCCTCTGTACATTTTTCTCTTGGGTTTGGGAAGTTTTTTCCTTATTAAATCAAAGGAGATCATCATATGTTCAGCATACTAATCTTTTTTTTGGTTATATGTGTGTTGTAAAGTATTTTCTGTTTACAGATTTTTTTTTTTAACCATCTTTAGGTATCCTATGAAGAAAATTTATTAACTTTAATGTAGTTAAATTTATCACTTTTGCCTTTATGGTATGTTACTTTTATATCATGTTTAAGAAATCTTTCCATACCGTAAGGCTTCATATATATTTTCATTTTTTTTCTTTCCAAAGGTTTTAAAGTTTACTTTTCATTTTGAAGTCTGTGATTCATCTGAAATTTGATTTTTTTTTTTTTTTCCTTTTTGTCTTTTT